CAACCGTTATTGAAATGGCTGAAACCTTTTAAGTTTGGTTTTCGATTAATATGAAGCAATATTCAGAAGTCTAAATGAAGTGGGTTTCAAATATGTTGCAAACTCAAAGATAAATAGACAAAGTATTTTGCATGTGTAAAATGTCAAATTAAATTGGTTATCAAAGTAGATAACATCTCATAGTTAATTTATTGTAAGATGAGTGGTCGGCTGATAATTAGTACGTGTGTCTATTAGCATAGAGGTTTGGGTTCGAATCCCAAAAATACTGTGTTTACTTCTTCCCATCTACATAGTATGTTTTGAAATTTGGATTTTAATGGTAATTTTCCTATGTACACAAAAAAATAACACGAATATCGTTGTTTTGACAGCTTGAAGGATTTTAATCAAAATGTTTAATATTATAGATCTTTTCATTTCCTACAGATGGTAGCACTCCCATTGCTGTAAAAATGTTATTTAAAGAGTTATTGTAAATTTTTCGATTTTTCCATAAAAACCAACTATAAAACAAAAATAATTTTTTAAAAACTTCAGGAACAGTTCTGATTAAAATATAGTTATAGTTCGGCCGCTTAGAAAACGACCTGCGCGCTAATGCTAAACCAATGCTGGAGGAGGTCGCTTTCTAAGCGGCCGAACTATATTTAGCCCTTTTTCAACTCTTAACAAAATTGTACACTCTCAATTACTATTAATGTTTAAAATAGTTTAATGTTTAAATTATTTAAATGGTTGAAAAGTTATTGCAATTTTTGTGATATTCCTCCAAAAAAATCATATTCCCACCGCTTGCCCTGTAAAGGAATGTTGACAAGCTAATGGGAGAAAGTATGTGTCAGATTGCTGATACCGTTTATTCAAGATGTGATGAAGCCGAGACTCGATGATTGAGAGCTTACCTCAAGCTGTAGGATTTTCTATCTACGAGTATAAAACAAAATGAAAAATGACTAGAACCTTTTCTTCATTAGAGATCCCCTACCAATAAACACCATAAGATAACTTCATTTGTTTTATTAATTTCTTAAGAACGTACACAACAAGATTTGTCTTTTGCTTGTAACAATAACTGCCAACTCTGTGTGTAATAGTCGTTTATATTCATTTTCTTCCGTTAAATGACAGTCATTCCAATAATATTCGATTTGTATTCGGGCTTAATGCTTGCTGACTGCGGCATTTTCTGGAAGGATGAGTTCAGTTTCGATGGCTTTGCTGTTTCAATGTGTAAATGTGATACTTGTGTCTTTAAAACAGTGATTGGTTTCATATTTAAATGTTTTAATTTGCAGGCGGTGCTCAGTTAAAAGTATGTTTCTGGACAAACAAAGTCTAAAAAAGAAACCTGTAATGATTATTTACTTTTTACGTATGAAAATAGATTAAATAAATGAATCATGGTTGGGAAAATGTAAATCAAACCGCAAAGAAAGCTTGAAATTTGTCAAAAGTCTGCTTAAAAAAAAACTATGTAAGAATATTTTTCCCAATTTGATGAGTTTAAATCTTCTGATAATTGATGAAAATCATTCCTCTTTTAAATCGAATTCAAAATATCTGAATTTATAAAATACACATGACAGACACAAAATGTTAGATGCCTAACCTAAATTTAGTTCTTTTTCTTTTCTGCGTCATGGGTTGTGAGATTCAAAATATTATTTTGTCTTGTTAATTTCCATTGTCACTTAAACATCGAAATGAATTACGAACTTTTTACAAAGACATAATACCACTTTGGTTCTTTTGTGCGGCATTCAACCAACTCTTTCACAAAATATTCTATTGTTCTCCCAGAAAAGTTTTAATGGCTTCACTTGATCCTTAAGAATATTAAACAATCAACAATACAAAAGCTCCTGCCTTCAGTTAAGATAAGAACTTCTACAACCTTTAGGGTATTAGTAGACAATCTATTAACAAAAAATTATCACACATATATTGAAAATGTTACTTTTTATTTATGTATTACCATCAATCTGCCTTTTGTCAATTTGTTCAAATCGACATTACAAATAACAAACCACGAAAGGTCGTCTACTTTATATAGATTCTATTTTATTACCGGTATAAAAAACAACTCCCATTCTATAAACTAAAAAGTTTCAATATATCAAGAATAAATTACGTAATTTCCATACACCTAAAATATGGAACTTCTCCCTATAACACAGTTAGGTTCTACTACATCGAATGCTAACTTGTGTATGGATATATGGTGGACGTTTCTTTATAGTTGTTTAGGCTGGGGTGGATAGGAATAATAATTTTAGTCGACAGTAGACTGGAGAATTGTTTGGTTTACAAGAGGAGAAGCTCTTTAATTAATTTTTGCTATTATTAACTCGAAGTAACTAACCTTGATTTGTGTGCCTGCAATTTACAACCTTCATCTAATGGCTTGGATTTTTACATATATAAATGCAATGGTGCTGTCATATAAATTATTTATGGTTTTCCTCACTTGGTGTTTGTACCCTATAATTTTAGTATTTAGATGGCTATTTGATGGGGGCTGAACTAAAATAATAAAAAGCCATGCGTTAAAACACGATAATATTTAGTTATTAAAGAAAATTCAATATATCCCAGTCAACCTTCAAGACAATGGGTATTTTACAAATAAACCGTTTTTGTATAAACTTAATTTTTCTGAAATAATCTCCGTCTAAAAGTTAAGCTTTTTATAGACTACACGTGTAGGGCAGTTAATATCACAGGTCAACAGTAAAATTTAATAATTTAAAAAACAACTAATGACTTCAAAATGTTATGAAAACTTCCTTATTTTATCACAACTCTAACTGTACCCTTGGTTTACCCACAGGACTGGCCTAAAAGCGATTTAGTGTAACTTGGGGTTGGCCGGAATTATGCAGAATAAAGTGAGAATAATTGTGTTGGGAGTCAAAACAGTTAGCAAGTGACATTAATACTAATATAACACAAAGCAGAATTCACTAGCAGAGGGGCTGGGCTTTGTGTATTTTATAATGAAATTACAGTGGACATGCTAGGTAAGAGGAAAGGGATGGTATGAAACAATAAGTACAGTATACACGTCGACTAGAGATTCCATATTACACTCAAACATATAATTGATTATCTTTGGATGCTTACATTAACACCCAACCAATATACGCTTAGGTCGTATCATGAAACTTTCGGTAATAGCTGATTACCTATAAAGGGAAATTCGCTAAAAATACACTTGTTACGTAGGTAATTAGCATATAATTACCTATTTTAGTGAGTGACATTACTTGTCACCACGATGCTGTACTATAAGCCTAAATCATTCTTTTATGGACCTACTGAACTTACGACAACTTTAAGGTTAGTTTTGTCCACTTTAAGTAGACAAATGTTGTTTACTATATGTCCCTTGTAATTAAACTAAAATTTGGAACTATTTTACCACATATAATGAGATCAGAGACTAGATAGTTAAAACAATTCCACAGGTTCCCAACATTAACTGTAAAAGACATTAAAAAATATGAGGGGAACATCGTCATCAACAAAGTTTCCGGGTATCGAGTAGTTAATAGAGCTAGTCTTCAAATTTGAAGACCGACATTTGTTTTCAAACGTCAACGGTCCTAAAATCAGATTCTATTGGGATATCAATTAAAGATTATAATATGTAACAAATCGTCGGCGGTACATGGTAACAAAACCATGTTACCATGTTAAGATTTGGACCGTTGCCTTGAGAAAAAAATAAACTATTGCCAATGACACAGATACACACAAATATATAAACAATTACTAATCGATTCTTTCAAACTTCACCACAACAAAACACACATAAAACAGGCTTAGGATTTTACAGTACCTCAAAACTGTTTAAGATAATAAAAAAAAACTATAAGGGAGGTTTTTTTTTAATTCGTGGTTTAATGTGAGAATTGTTTTTCTGTACAAAATACAGAGCCGCCAATCAGAGTGTGATACTACAGTGGCTTTTTTGACCAAATGATAATATCATTCTACTGAGCTTGAATAATTACGTATTAATTACTCGTGTGATTATCAGTTAATTAACTGATCCAAACGAGTAACTGATGTTTGCTGAATATTTCCGGTGTAATGATATAGAGGATTAAAAAAGATAAGCAAATTTGGACTGTACAGATACACCCAAAACTCGTAAATTGATTACTATTGATGTCTTCAGAAAGTGTTCAAAAATATATTGTTCGTCATACTGCAGCAAAAACAGTTGTTTTAGTTCTAGATTATAAATGCATTCAAAATATTTCTCAGATTTTTAAATTCCACAGAAACAGTTTTCTATTAATACTAGCTGTAACCCGCGGGCTTTGCCCCGTTTAACTTCTTAATTTTCAACATGATCTCGTTCGCATGGCTCAATCACGTCCTGGTTGAAGTTCGTTCGCTACGCTCACTCACCTTAAGGTTGGAGCTCGTTCGCTGCGCTCACTTGCCTTCAGGTTGGCTCGTTCGCTACGCTCACTTGCCTTCAGGTTAGCTCGTTCACTACGCTAACTCGCCTCCAGGTTGAAGTTCGTTAGCTATGCTCACTCACCTTTTGGTTGAAAATTAGCTGTTGTCATAAATGTAAAAGAAATAATAGTGCTGCACCCTTTTGGTAATCCTTGTAACTTTAATGCTCTATTGAACATCATAGAACAGAATCAACTTGTTTAATTGAAACAGCTGTTAAGATTCATTAATTCCATTTCTCATAAGGTTAACATGGGAAACTCCAGAGCCACTGGGGCGGAGCCGATTGGACGGATCACGAAATTGATGGAGTATAAACCTATTCCATGAAATTCTACACGCATGTACCAAGTTTCGTGGCAATCGGTTCAGCGGTGTCTGAGTTTATCACTGCCAAATATACAAACATCCTATTTTATACTTATAGAAGATACTCGTTACCAATCTGAATGTCTCTCTATGACTATTTTCAAACTATTTCTTGTACTGTACATTCGTATGTTTGACAGCTGTGAGATCCACAATGTCACACAAAATACAACAAAAACAACTTTCTTTATAAAATAAAATTCAAATTGAGTTTATAAAATCTCCGATTTATAAGCTAAGGTTCTAAAAGATGTCGGTTCCAACTTCACCTTCACAGAAGGGAAAGCCAAACGTTATCATGTCCAGTTCAGTTCTCCGAGTGCCTTCTTCCGGCAATACGGCCAGAATTGCGACCACAACTAGCAGGATGGGAATGCACAAGTCACAGAGTAACTTCTTCTGCGACAATCTGGAGAAGATCCACTTGAGAACGCCAATCTTAAAGATAGATAGTAAGACGACTTGGTATGAGAAATTGAAGGTCACGTCCAGACAGCAGTTCTTCAGGCATGATTGGGGAGGAGTGACGTCAATCAGGTACCATTAACTGAAAGATTAGCTATATACCACGTCTGCACACCAGGCGAGTGTTTTAGGCAAATAAGAATTCATTATGAGTGAGAATTGAGTTATTAAAATGATAGTTTTTCAACTGTATAAGATTTGTTTGCTTTTAAGCCAGAAATTGATCAAGGACAGCTGGCTCAAGTTTCAACTATCAAAAAGGTACTTACTATTTTTAGGATTGAACTGGCAACCATCTAGTTACCAAGTGAGAAGTTTCCACTCATGTGGTAGCACAGGTAGAATTGGTAGAACTGGTAAGGACCGGAATATTATAAATTACTATGGGAAATCGAGGTTACATAGGAAAAGTTCGTTCTCGAATACAAGTTAATTCAATAACTAATTTCGCCTGATGCCAGCCACTAACCCTTGATAAGTGACAGCTGGAGTTTCAACTTTTTGACGCCCAAATCATTTAGATAGGATAATACAAGTCCAAAGGTCTTTTTCCAGGCCCAAGGCTTTAAGATATATGACCACGTCACCACAGTGATATTTTTATACGAATTTAATCAGGTACTTGTACATCTTCCCAATCATTACTCTCTTCCTCAGATATTCCCAGAACAGCGAGAAGCTAGCTGTTGGATTCAACTCCGGAGACCTCCAGGTCTTCTCGTCCATGAATTTCCCAGCAAAATATTCTCCAGAAACCATCCTCAAGGGTTGGGAAGGCAACGACTCTATCTCCTGTATCCGGTTCCACCCTAAAACCCCAAACGTGCTCTACGCTTCCAGTACTTCTGGAACAGTGATGCGGAGAGATTTTGAAGATTCAACGAACTTCAACGACTTTTTTCTCTCAGAGGCCGGCAATGAAATCTTCAGCATGGACTTCTCTTCAGAAGGCGTTCTGGTCACTGTGGGTAGAGACGCTACTGTGAGAGCGTACGACGTATCCGAAGAGAAACTAATTTCAGAAATGGGTCGAAAGTGTTCCTCCCCGAGTTTTTGCGGAGCGTCAAACTCCGACGAGGAAGACTTCCATGAAAAGAGAATATACAGTGTGCGCTTCCATCCTAGTGAGCCTTCTCTTCTCGTGACAGGGGGCTGGGATGGAATTAGAGTGTGGGATTTGAGAATTCAACGACCCTTGAGGAGCATAAAAGGACCTTTCATCTTTGGAGACACCCTGGATGTGGCTAAAGGGATGATTCTGACAGCCTCCTGTACTGCCCTTGGTGGTGTACAACTGTGGGATTTAGGTTCTGGATTTCTAATGGACAATGTCAATCCAACAAACAAACGCGTTCAACTCTATGGTGAATACCCTTACGTTGCTCAATTCTTCAAAGGTGATCCTACCCTAGACTTGATTCTCTATGGGGTAGGAGGGCTACAACTGATAAGCGTTAAAGAATCTTCAGTATTGTGCTTTTTTGAAGATGAAAAGCCTGTTCAGGCTGTTGATTCTTGCGATAAAAAGTTTGCTTTTGGTGGAAAATCCCACAGCGTGGTCTGCGGTAAAATATTAACCCCTGAATGGCCTGAAAGTGATGCTTCTCACAGCACTTTCTCGTGTGTTTCTCAAACTACGTCGTCTGCAATGGATCTAAATGATGAGCACGAAGTGAAATTAAATGGTTTCTAAATGTGAGTTTTATTTTTACCAGATAATTTTATTTTAGTTTTAGATACAACCGTTATCTACGTAGGTTTGGGTTGGACTCATCATACATTTCATCATTTTGCTCTACACTATAAATGCAAATTTGAAAATAGCTCAACTAAAATTATTATACTCTATACTTGTTTTAATGAGTTTCTGTCACAATTACCAACAAACGACCACTACCTAACTCATTTCATTCTGTTGGTGTATACAATCAAAGGACTTTACTTCAGGCAGATCAATATGCAAATAATCATTTATATGGTACTGTATTGGTAAAAAATGTAAAAAAAAATAAATCTTGTTTTATCACTTACGGTAGGCTACCCATATAACTTTAAAGGCCGGAAATTGTACACCCTTTTGTGCCAAACTTGATTGAAGAAATAGTTGTGTTTTCTCATTTCTCTATGGCCTGATACACTCCTGTAGAGGAATAGTTAATGAATGAAATTAATAAGTGTAATTAACTAATTACAAAAATGATAATGTATATAAATTATTCCTAATAGTTAAATGTTAACTGTAAACTAGGACCATAATGTAATAATTGATGGCACAGTAAAATGTGTTTTTGTTCATCCATGCTTTTAGTCAATGGTAAAAAGTACAGAGTGAACAGTATCAAGTTTTGCCAAACAAAAGTACGCCATAGCTTTGGCAGATATTACTTCCCCCCAGACACATAAAGAATGGTTTTGCAATAGTCTTGTTCTTGATCAACTATTATTACTGCAGAACATTTCTCATCTCAATAGCGACTTGAAATAAAACATCTATCGTACCGGTACTTGGCTTGGTTTTACAATACTATTTTTACGTATTTTAAGCTAAAGTCAATGGATGGTGTGGAATAGCAGTGGGATGCCATATGTACCTATTATGTTCATCAGGGTAAAATCAGCAGGCTACGTAAGTAAAAACAGTTTTAAAACATTGCATTTGATGTGAACCTTTACCCTTATTGCAATGTGACAATTAATTATCAGGGGGGAAAAATTGGGTGGAAAAACAAATCAAATTTTTGTGTACAAAATACGTAGCACTCCTCTCATGATTGTATCAGCAGGTTCACTTCCCACTTTTTATTTAAATATTTTCAAAATATAAAAATGTTTACGAGAGTTCTCGTACCTATATTTATTTGAACATACGACTAATATACCTCCATAACTATTTGAACCAACGGTGTTCTTGCTACTGAGTGTCCTTAAACGAAATCTCACAGTGGTTTCGAACCTATGCTTTACTTTTAAAAGCTACAGTAATAGTTCCTTCTTAGTAGGGAAATGCATTTAGTGGAACCGAATATTTGAAGACAGCTTAAGTTAAATATTCGCTTACTAAAATGTAAAATAATTAATCAACGACCCATTGAAAGTTTAAGAGGAAAAGCAGAAAGAGAGAGTCAAAGGAAACTTGTGGATTGTTAACGAACTCAACAACTAATTTCACTTGTGTTGACGTATGAATATGAAAAGGCAGATAATTCATTTTTCCCTCTACCTCCACACCATAAAAGAGATCATATTCTTTTAAATACGATTATTTTTCATTTTTAGGCTCACACAGTTAGATATTTATTTCAATTAAAATTGAGTTTTAAAAATTAGCTAAATCTATCATTCAATCATTCCATTCAAATGAGACCGTAATAATCTACTAAACAGCAAGATGCGTAACAAAAATACGTAGTTTATACAGTTAAGTCAAAATTGCTTAGGCTTATGCAATAGGGGTGTAAGGTGCTATCAAATGGTAATCCGGACTAAGTGATGTCCGTACTTATGAGGTCCAGATCAATGGTTTACTTTACGCTCAGTTTATTCCCGAAACTTCAGCTTTAACTCGAAATTGGATGCAAACTAACATTTTAATTTTGGTTCATGGACTTTTCCTACCCGTTTTGGGATGTAAGAAAACTATACTATCGTGCAGTGTGTTCATAGTACTACATGAACTGTACACGTTTCACGCAAATGTTTTAGGCAAATTTTTAGACATTCTCTTATGAGGTAAACCAGTATTTATGGTTTAGAAAATTCAGACTTCAAGCTCAGACTGATTTCAGACTAATCGTCAGAGTCGCCTGGTACCACGCACAGCATCTCTCCTGAGCATAGCCATGTTATCAGGATCCTATCAAGGGGAGTGTGATGCTGATACCGGCTCCTCCCCTTTCGGCAGTCTGCTGCATACTCACTTGTGCTTGCAGCTGTCAATGCTATGCATTACAACATACAGGAGAGGTAAGTCTGTAAACTTTTATGAGATCTTTGTTGACCTATGAAAGTTAAAATAATAAATTAGTGTAGCTAATTATCTTGGATTGCAACTTCAAATGTATCTACAATAATCATATTTTGTGTTTAAGATTTTATTTTTGTTGTAATGGTAAATGTGTGGTGTTTAAATATATTTTGTACCTTTTAAATTGTGTCATATTTTAGATGTTTTTTTATGAATTAGTAAATTTTAAAAGCTGTTTCTAATATACAACATTCCTTTTTATAGGATTGTGCCGGCGATCTTCATTCATCATATTGCCTTTAAACATATTTAATTTTGACAAAATGAACTTTTTTAATTTACAAGAAAAGTAAGTAGGCTATATCCCCTACGTCGTGTCATGATGCAACCACCTATGTAGGCCTACGAGTACTTAGGAATAAAATTTCAGCCCGTGCCCTGTTTGAATTGTGATAAACGATCTATTTAAATTTCTAAATCTTGCTTGCAGATTTGAGAGGGGTTCCACTTTGGACAAAGCCATGGCTGATATGTCCTGGTGCCTGTTGATTACTTTGCTATTTGTTAAGTCATCTGTTACACACAACGATCCCTACCATGACCAGTAAGTTGAACTAATCGATTTCGATTAAATGCCTATGTATTTATTTGAATCATTTTTTTTTTTTGTTTTGACTTTCAAGTTCTGCATCAAAAAGTTCTAGGCAGGTTTAAAACTCAAGTTTCATACATGTACAATTTTTTAAACATTTTAGCAGTGGTTTGATTTAGAGACTATTTAGTTATAGAAATTATTTTAAATAGTTATTTCTTCTGATAGTAATGTATATCAGTAGTTTCAACATGTTTACAGGCCCAAACTACTCACGGAAAACGGGAACCTTATAATCATGGCAGGAGCTGACAAAAATATCACCTTGAAGACGTCCGGAAACGGCTATGTGAACCTCAACAATGAAAATCTTCTGCAGATAGCGACCACGGTAATGAATTTGGTTTTTGTTCTTTCAACGTTAGCTTCAGTCAAAACATATCAGGGTTCATCATTTTAGTGTATTGGCTTATTTGTCCACACTATATATTTGCATGTCTGTGAAAGGCATGTGTCATTTTCATGATTTTACTGTGTAACAGTCTTAATTATTGCGTTATGTGCTTAGATAGTAATCTAGCATCGACTTATTAGGAGACATAATAATTTATGGCACAGTAGCAGTATACTGGTTTGGCGAGAGGTCATAGTTTTCTCATGATAGCCAGAATGTCACTGGTTCTATACTGAGAAAAACCCGTATATTTTGGTAGTTTGAGGCTACACACAAGCTGTCCTTATTGGGCTAAATGATCCTGGCCAAAGAAACATCTGGGCTTATTGAAAGGGCTACACGGCACTTTTGATTCCACTCCTACTCTACACTCACGTTATTTGCGTTAAAATGAGCTCAAAATCCTAATTGGTAATCATAATTGGCAACAATGGCAACTGACCAAAACCAAATCTCTTACATGGTCGAAAAGACAACTCCCAGATTTCAGGGCAAACAAGTCAACTGTATACGTGGTTTTATAGGCTGAATAGGACGTTTCAGTGGGGCCCAGTCATCCAATAAAACTTCAAAAAGAAAATAAGTTTTGTTTGTTTCACAGGCTCGTCAAGCTGCAGACACAGTGGTTCGATTCCGGCAGAACTCTGAGGGAAGAATGGAAACTCGTCTAAGCTCACTTAACCGTCTGGTCACCGGACCTCAAGGCTTATCTGCGAGATTGAGAACTCTGGAACGAACAATGTCTGGAGGAAATGGAACAACCACACCATTTGCATCTGTAAGAATACCCTTGCTTTACTATCATAAAATACTAGTAGAACCCCGTCAAAATCGACGGTTAATCTTGAGGTTTTATGTAAATTCAGCTAACTGCGATAGATAGAGTGAAGTAATTAAAATCTTAGTTTAAATGAAGGGAGGATAAACATAATAATAAGTATGACGATTGTGTTCCCTAAAAAACGGGATTGATGAATTCGTTTAACACAATATTTCCTACCTTTTTATCGGCTTTAGGTTGCCCAAAAGGGTTTTTAGGAGTCTTATAATTGTTTGTTCATGAGTTAGTTTCATGTCAAAGCCACTTTCACTATATGGGAGAATGGGTTCATATAATTAGTCTGTCACGGAAAGAGTCAATATTTATTACTAACAACTAATTCAATCTGCTTTAGGAAAATCATTCAGATTGTATCCGGATTTATAAGTAAATCTTCATCTTTGGTCATAAAAATACGGAATTTTATCAGCATATTAAATCAGTTTTTTTTGTATTTGAAAAAAATATCTGATTCTCTAGAAAGCAGTAAGATTCTTACTTCGATCTAAGCAACTTTAATTCCTTCTCTTGCCACATCGACCCATGTATTTAATTTAATCATCCTTTTCTTACTTGATAATTCAGTTCATAGTTTCGCCTTGGCCAGATCGATAACATAAAGCTGTGCATGTATTTCGTGGTTGGAATGAACCATAATTGTAGGAAATTTGATCACAAATCTTGAACATTTGCGGAATCAAATCCATAACCTAGTCCAGCCTTGGTAACAAATTATGCAAATGCGATTAGATGTGATGACACTGTTGTGTTTCCGAATGCTTTGTATGTAGTGAGGTTTAGATGTGTTGTTACATGTGTACAGCAAAGTAAAAACCCTTTACACATTTTTTTAAATACCTGAATTGACATTAGTTCACCTACTTCACCAAAACCATAGATGAAACATACTCCGTAGTTAGTCTACTCCAAAACTTGAACACAGCTTTCATCCTCGACGTACTCATCTATGACAGAATTTTTAACCCGATTGTCGAAAACTTTTATACCAATAAATGAATTTCTGGTGTTCTTTCTTGAATTAAAAAATAATTGGTAATTGAAAGTAGGCAAAAAAAGGCAAGTGCCAACCTTACAATATATATAAGCTAACCCGATAAGGAATAATTATAATTATGTTCCTTTCAAATTGATATGTCACACTTATTTCATAATTTAAAATTTTCTAAGAGCAATAAAGCATATATTTTTGATCACAACATTTAAAACGTATCATAAATTCATCATTTTGTTGAAACTATAAAAAACTTGCCATGCAGTGGAGAATCAATTTAAAATCATAAATAATAATGTAAACATTTAATTTTGACAGTTTCAGTAGACCTTTGAATACAATTTTAATACTAACAGCTGGTTCATTAAAAGTAGTGTAAAATTATCCATATGGTCGTAATGTAAACAAAATTGCTGAGTGAACTTTAAAGGCCTCTGGGGCAGAGTCCCAAGGAAATTTACCTCGTTTCTCTTTTGAGGGCTCGCCTACAGACCAATACCTTTCTTTAGACACCCCTACCAAGTTTCTACACCCAGCCGTTCTCTCAAAATAGCTGTCACAAAGAAAAACAGTTTCAAATTAATATATAGATTTGGACAGATACGTCATAATGGTAAGGTTAGGTTTGAGATAGACGTGATAGAGCTCGCCTAAAAAACAGAGGATCACTGGTTTGATCCAGAAAAATGGCAAAAATGTAACTCAGACTAAAGTATTCACAGTAATAGGTTCAGTACGATTTCAACTTTTTATTAAAAAGTGCCGTAGTAGTTATTGTATATTTTATTTTGTATGAGTTAAAAGTTCAGTCTTCCCTTTTCTTTCAATATTTAAACGCGTGCGACAATTTTTACCTTTTTAATACGACGTCTATTCTAACCCTGCTCCTCATGTCACTATAATATAACATCTGCCTCTTGATGGATTTGAATAAATACAGCAACGTTTTCTAAACAAATAGTTTTATTCTCTCATACTATTTTTAAAGGTTAGATTTTTTTACTGAATCAATGTGCAGATCACTGAAACTATTTCAACGTGAGTTACGGGCAATTAAAGATTTATTAATTTGGTAATTGTTCTCATAAAGCTCCTTTGTTCACAAGTTACACTACTAAGCCTAATAATATAAAAGTTGAATTACGTCTACTTTCACAGGGAACAACTAGATCCAGCAACATCCGAATCAACCGTTTGGGAACCAGGGTAAGTGGCTTTTGTTTGATAACTTGACGTCAAATAAGTTTCTCTCATGATATTTACAATTGACTTGATTTATAATAGTTACCAAAAGTTTATATGGTTTTACAAAAAAAGGTCCATAGCATTAAAAACACATCAAAATTTATTTGTATACTTTTCATTCTGGAAATGATCCCTATTCCGAAAACAGAATAACACACTCTAAATATAACTGAGAATACTAAATTAATATGGAACCATGCATAACGTCCGATTATTTTATTTCACCATCCGCATCTATTTATTTCTGGCTTAACAAAAGGGTTCAAATTCCCAAATAACTCAAATTACGATGTCAACATAATCTGTCAAATCTTTGTTATTGGGAAATCTATCTAAATAGTACGGGTATATAAAGATTTTCTCATTCGGTATATGCAAAATAATAGGTATGTAACTGCTTCATAATTTGTTACCTATTGAAAGGTTATGAAAAGTTTTAGCGATGTTTGATCAAAGGAAAAAATTAGTTATAAGTTAATTCCTCTACATCTCTCTTGATTTAGGTAAGGACTGTTGAAGTTCAACTGCGAAACTTGCGCAACTTGCTGACAGTAGACGAGTGCCTCAGCAACCCATGTAGGAACGGAGGAACATGTCAGGACATGTACAACGGGTTTATATGCAACTGTCCGACAAACTGGCAGGTATGTCAACTGTCCATGAGTGATTGCATTGAATCATACACTACTTGAACTATATATACCTACAGTATATAGTCAATGATTGAATGTAGAGTTTGTCTAGCAATCTATCATATTTAATATGTGTGTAATATATGGTAGGCCTACTTCATATACTTATACACACGGTAGTCATTTGTTGATTAGCCTAGTGTATGTATTCACGGTATTCATTTGACTTTATAACAATTTTTAACTTCATTAATATATTGTTATAAATGAATAAAAACTGTATTAAGATGACAATGTTACGAGGGAATGATAGATGACTAGTAAAAATAATCAAGCAATAAATAAACTTTTAAATATTATAATAATGTCTAAAATTCGATCAACTGGCTTTTTGACAAAATGACTTGTCGGCCAAATGGCAGACATTCAAAAACTCTCAATTCCCAAGTGAAAAAATTATACAACTGAACCTAAGTTCAGTGAGGAGTATGTTAAATCTATGGTTCAGTTATATAAATAAGATTAGTATTTGAATAACAAGTAAAATAATAAATGAATAATGCACCAGGTCCAATAATGCTAAATACAACTGCACCAAACATAAAAAAATTAGTGATTGACAAAAGTAAAACAAAAATAAAAATTAATAATTACTTACTATAGGCTACTCGATTACACAAACTAAATAATGAAATACGCTTCATCTTCTCAGGGAAAGCTATGTGATGAAGATGTGAATGAATGCGCCATGTTTGCCGGAACCGAGTCTGGATGCAGGAATGGAGCGACTTGTTTGAACAAGCCCGGTTCGTACGACTGTGTTTGTGCAGACGGTTGGTTTGGACTGCATTGCACCCTTCGCGTGAACGACTGCACAGCGACCGACAGCGCACAGCTGTGTGGACATGGAATCTGTGTAAATCAAGGGGGCACAGGCAGAGGCTACACTTGTATCTGTAATGAGGTAGGTTGAATATACTGCAGAATAAGCTGAGTGGTGCATTGATGTATTCAATCTGTAAGGCAGGGGTGCCCACAAGGGGGGACTGTGACGCAGACTGCGTCATTGAAATTCTTGGGGGGGGGTTGCAAAATTTCAAATGGGGGGGTGGCTAAAGTTAATTGCAACGGTGTTTAACCTGACGACAATCAAAAATATATTATGAAGTCACCAGATATAAAGTCGATTAATTAATGGAAATAGTTATATTATTGAATTCAATTAGTTAAAATATGATTTTAGGATAGTTTAGGATTCGTGTAGGAAGTTATTATGCAAGATTAGCAAGACGTGAGATATATAAGAGGGAGGGCACGGAATGGCTCAACTGCTGTGTTAGATAAAAGATAACGCGTGGTACAGACATATCCAGCTACACCGCGAGTTAGCACAAAACGCTTTGTTGACATAAAACTCAATAAAAAAATACAATGAATCAGCACAGGCACAATACCTTACACTATTGTGTGTATACTCGATTACCTGAGTGAATAGGGAGGGGGTAATGAAAAATACGGTTAATCCATTATAGTATAAATAAGCAGATGACAAACCCATTAAAACGCTGTAAACAGCCATTAACGTCACGATTTGAATTTTTATAAACGAAATTCAATATTGCACAATCATTATTATTGTGCAATAACATTATTATTGTACATTTCAAATCATCATTTATCTTGGTTCAGTTGTACAAACGGAAACGTTTAAATTATGGCTAACTCAAATAATAACTAGCCAAACACTGCATTGCTATAAATAACGTAAATATTAAAGGACCCTTTAAAAAGTGTTATAATCTACTGCTCATGATAGACGGATAGCCTACCGGTAGGTGCTGTATCACAGCATAGGAATTGATAGATAAGTAATAAAAAAGTGTAAAATTATATTTAGAGATAATAAAAACACTCTTAAAAAAGAATGTGACGAGAACGATCTTGTTATTCTTTTTCTTTGTTCTTAGGTTCTTTATTAGGTTTCTCTTCAATTCATGCACAAATTCATCAAGTCGCCATATTTAGGCCTACTCATTGCCCAATCACAGCCTTACTAAAATTACCATGGTTAATCACTCGATCGCAGTTTATAGTAAGCATTATCGTCATCATTCCCCAGCTGTTGTATCTGAAATCTGTTGTAACATAGCGCACATCAGACAGAAGTGTAAAACGGAGCAGACGATTGTTGGCGCAAGCGTTTTTTCCATTTCATTTTCATCAAAGGGGAGCCATGATGTTTCCAATTCCAATGGGAGGGAGAGGGGGTCGTTATATCAAGAGAAAGACGCTGACCATTACGAACGCTATACAGATATTCTGGCAATAAAAATTCCTTAAATTGAGGTGACTTATAAAACTCAAATTTTATTTATATAGAAAGATAAGTTTCCCAGTCCCGTACAACACTGATTCACGGTCTTTTCCCGGTAATCAAAATTCAAGTACAACTTGATACACACAGAATCTCCGGTTCCCGACCTGGATGATGGCTAGTTATTTTATTTAATTTACAGTTACATATACATATTAGTACCCGTGATAAATCAAACCCGTTATGTAAGCCAAAGCCACACGGTTATTAATCTCACTGGGTTTTGGATTTGCTTACAAACGTGATCGGAAATGGTTAGGGCCTACACAGTATTCGTATAAAACATTTATGTAAAGATATCAGTGACAGCTAGAAAAATTAATCTTTATCAAAACAGCTGTTCGTAATTTAATATATGACGTGTTCTTTTAACAGATTATTAGTATCTCATAAATGACGTATGTAGTAAACATGGAGAAAAACAAACTAGAAAAATCAAAAACAAATTGGGTTTTTGATCGTCCTTTATTTTATTTCCAAAATATTGAGGCCATATTTTAATGGCTAAGGATACTCTAGCCAATCCTGTGAATACAATTAAACCATTAGAATCATAATCGGTACTCTAGTTTTCTTTAGAGTAGGCTGCGTAAAATGCCTTCTGGGCCGTGACAGACGGACATAAATTGAGATAAGACATGTTTCAACTTCTTCAATGTATAAAACGTAAAAATAACCCAAAATATGTATAATTCTGAGCAATGTACAGACAAAACCATAACTTTATTTATATAGATTAACTGGGTTTGAATTTTCAATATCTAAAAAAAAATGTATAAAACTTCTTTTAGTTTTACAAATGAGTGTAGGAGTTTTGCCAACGGGTATCAGGTAGAAAGGGTCCCCATCCATGAATTCCACATACTGCGGAGTTTTGCCAACGGTTGTGGGTTGAGCGAGAGTGATTACACGTGACCGTGAGAGTGGCTTCCGCTAGGGGTGGACAAACCAGGCAGGATGCTGACTGTATTCAAAGTAATGGAGTTATGCACCTCTGACTGTGAAAGGAAATGTATTGAATTTTTAACCTAACCTAACCTAACCTAACCCACTGCGACAAGCGCATAACTTCCAAGCGTAGACAACCCTGACAATCGCTCTCCCTCCCTCCGTCACACTCTTTCTCCCACCACCACCGTTGGCAAATCTCCGCACCAAGAGGTGGCTGAAGGCATCCCCCCCATCTACCTGACACCCGTTGGCAAAACTCCGGTTCCCTTTACAAATAGTGCTGGGCGGGGGAATAATGTTTCTCATTAATTTGTTGTGTACCTCATTTATGGTGGGGGGGGGGGCTGTTGCTCAATTTGGGGGGGGGGCGTCATGAGTCTAGGGGGGGATGGGCACCCCTGTGTAAGGTGATCACGCTGGCCACTAGAATCTTGGTGAAGTAATTACCTATTAATTGTATTGTTACACTTGTGTCACGGCCGCCATTAACTCCAGGCCGCGGCATTCGAAGTGGCAATGTCACAAGTAACAGCGATTTTGTTTGGAAGTAGCTAATGGTATTTGTGTATTTACGAAAGCTTGGTTACTGTACTATAAAAATATTGACTCCGCTATAATGTAAATGTCAGATATAGATTTTCAATTCTGTATATTTTATTTTCAATATTTTAATAAATTTTTATCCATAAATTTAAATTTAAATAAGTAAAGTGCGAATTAGTGAGCTGATGTCACCTGTCTGCCGTGTTATCTTAAGGGACGTCTGACACTAAACCCTACTTGCGACGTTGCCAATTCTGCCAGGCCGGGCCCTGGAGTTAAAGGTGGCCGTGCTTGTGTTGACTGTTTGCTATCTGTTTTATACCAAATTAGTATTTTTATTATAAAAAAACTGTTTGCAGACTCGTATATTACATGTATTTAGTTTAACAATCTGATGTACACTCATATGTATTGGCAACACGGCCGCCTTTAATTAACCCTCAACTAGGTGGCCGTGGTTGGCCATACCGGCCGCTCACCTTTTTTTTCTTTTCCGGGTCTGATCGTCTGATGCATTGTTGTTTTTTTTAGGCTGTGCTGTGTACACATAAGTCAGCTGTTCAACTGTCGACTGTGTTTCGTGTTTCGTTCGTTTTGTTGTGTTTGTTTGTTTTTGTTATCGTAACTTAATGTAAAGTTAGTTTGGTTGTTTTAAAGTTAGTTAAACAACTAACTTATTCAAGTCAGCCTATTTATTCAGGACAGGAGTCGAATTAAATTTCTAGCTCCAATTGCATTACCGGCATAACTTAGTTTAGTTTGTAAAGTTAAATGTTTAAAAATCCGCAATCTGGTTGAAGTTGAAAGGTACGGTATTTTAGCTTCGTCTCAAATGAACCTGTGCCTAATTGCTAGGTAAATATCTCCTCCTGATTGTAATGTAATTCAGTAAGTAGTGTTTTTTGTAAATAATAAGCAGCTCAGCTAATTGTGGCCTAGGCCTATAGTGTGTTATAACTAACCTCCAAAGTTCAAAACAAAGCAAAACCTAAAATAGACAAGACACCGGCAGACACGGTGTTGTAAAGTCAAAAGTCACCTTTATGCAAGCGCAAGGTACGGTATTCTATCAGCCTATGGTTTGGCTAGACATGAGGCCTACCTACCTAACTTATGTTAAATGATTTTTGTATTGTAAAAGTTCTTGCCATCCAACATTTATAATAGGCCTAGGCCTATATCATAGAAATTAGTTAACATTCAAACAACTAAGTCAATAGCCCCTCATAAATATTTAATGTAGGCATATGCCTAACTAAACTTACAGTACCGGTAAGTAATCCTTTTTAGTTTAGGGCATAACTTACTTTGATCTTGAATATTTTTGTTAAACCTAAGTAACTTTCCTGTTCTTCCAATGCAAAAAATCACCGCCTTGGTCGAGTTTACTGTTTTATTATCTTAAGCCTAAAAGATTTTTATAATACTTTTCTGTCATTTTTGTTGAGGTAGGGCCTATTTCACATTAACTTACAAGGAACCTAAACTTAATTAAGTCTTATAATAGTAGTTAGCGGCATTCAGAATCAGCAGCTAAGTTCTTCAAGGTTTATTGATGTAGGCTAAGTTTAACTGAAAAGTGGTGGTTCCAAGGGGGGGGGCTAAATTATGGGGCCAAAGCCCCCCATTCTCCAACCCCCATGTCCCTCATGTCTTATGTTAAAAATGGCTTTAAACATTTACCAAACGGCTTTTAAATACAGTAGCAATTTTATTTTCCCCTCCTGGTGTACAACAACCCCCATTATCCCCCCCCCCCTTCACAAAGTTCCTAGAACTGCCATTGTAATTGTAACGAAAATAATCAGACCAACTCAGCATTCACTCTAGAATTTTGTTCATGCAAATTTCTATCTAAGTTAATGTCCATTTAAATTCAAAATATTCCAAAGAACAAACATTGAGTCCATTGAAGTTATTCGAAAACTGAGTAACCCGTAAGTTTAATGAATTGTTGTAAACTTAGGCCTAGGTAAAATTTACACTTCTTAATAGGCTGACATGTATATTTTGCTGATTAATGAAAGTACGATTTCAGGGTTGGACTACTGATCTCGCCCATTCCTGCACTGTAGACATTGATGAGTGTCAAGCGAAGCGATATCCGTGTTCTCATGATCCTCTGGTGCAGTGTATTAATCTACCAGGGTCTTATCATTGTGGATTTTGCCCACCTGGTGAGCCTTAGATATCTTAAATTGCAGTAAAGTTACCTAAGTTAATTAAGTTACAAAATTAGGTCTACTTAGATCTAAAAAGTCTTTGCCTTAATTCCCCTAAAAAATTACTCCTTAAATCTTTTGACCATGTCACCTTTTACCGACACTCTGCTAGAGATAACTTATATGTCTATAAAGTTTTAGCTCTAACTCTAAATTTAGCCTACAGTAATAAATTTCAAATCTTGTTGGACAAAAAGGTTGTTTATAGCTTTCCTGATAGGGCTAATTGAAAACTCCAAATATTTTGTTGGTTCTCTAATAGCAGTATGTTGTTCATCTCATTTCAAAAGGCTACCCTAATTTTACAATACTTTTACTTCAGGCTTCACTGGTAACGGATTTCAATGCACAGACATCAATGAGTGTGAAACTAACAACGGAGGCTGCAGTCTTGTCCCGAGAGTCACTTGCCACAACACAAAGGTAAACTAGGCTGGTACTGTATTGATAAAATTAGAGCTTGCAGTTTTGACTTAGATTCACCTCAGCAAGTTAATTTCTGCGTATCTGAGTGGTGATAGAGCTCGCCGGTTCAGTCCTTTAAAAAGTCAGGCAGAAGCTTTTTGATGGTTCAGACTGGACCCAGCTATCGTTAGGTATTCATTGAGCTTATAATAAATTGTCCTGATTAACACTATACGGTTTCCGCCTTCTGGTTGAAACAGTACGATTTTACGTTGGGACCATGTTTCTTTCACATAAACACGGATTCTGGCGAGGTAATGTGTTTACCAAATCACAATAAACATTCAAACATTATCTAATTGACCAGTCAGACTGTAAACTCTGAACAGCTGGATCTATTTGCACTGGCTGGTGGGCTCCCGTTCGATTAAAAACTGTGCAGTATGAAAGCTTGCATTTAACTACATGGGCCACTGACTCATAGGCGTGAAAACCGTCCGGTTCAGTGGCAGTGGAAGGCTGCCAGACGGCACAGTTTTCTGCCTTTGCCATAACCGTGCAGTATGTAAGCTCTCATGCTCTTCTTTACTGTACTAAAAAAATACTACCTACCGGTATGATTTTTGGCTGTATGGCGAACCTTACTTACAGACCTTAAAACTAAGTACTAACCATGGAGAAGTTAAGTAGTAAGATAGGACAGAGGAAACATTCAATGGTACACTTTACTGGTGTCTAGGGCAAGGCCCCCTCCACCTCCTTGCCCTCATGTATGACGATGCTAACGGTGGAGGAAGACCATGTACCTACCCTGTGTGATAGGAATTTCCTTGCTCGTCACTAGTACATCTCTGACCCAACATACAAGAGCTGAAAGTGCACTGTTGTCCCATTTAAGTATGTTTCCTCTGTATCTTACTTCCCTGTGCTTACTGAATTTTTGTCAAATCTAATTTTATACTTTTTGTAGAATTGTAATGATCTCCAATATGTAAACATAAACTAAGTCTATTGTCCATTGCCTGCTGTATGAGTACATGTTTTATTGTGTGGCAGGGATCCCACATCTGTGGACAGTGTCCTCCCGGGTATTCAAGGGATGGAATGGTCTGTACACCTGTCGCTGGAGGGAGATGTAGCTTCAACAATGGTGGATGCTACCCGATGGCTAGGTGCTTTGAAAATGCAGGTACTTTCTTCACTTAGGCCTACTTACTTGAATCCTACAACAGTGACCATCAGTCTAAATAAATTTTGTCAATTATAAAACTTAACTAAAAACTAGGCTAGGTAAGTAACCGTGGGGTGCTAAAAAGTGGTGTGTCAGTGTCGAAAAACGTGTTCAATGAGTAGAGAGGTCTTACCACCAAATAGTCTCTCAATGTCTTACTGAAACCCCCCAAGTCTAGCTCACAAACTCTCTCGGAAAGTTTGTTGACGAGCTTGGTGGTGTTAGGGGTAGCCCATTAGAGACCAAGCAAGACAGTATCTGGGTAGGTCATGGAAGGTGGTAACGTCGTACTCCGTATTTGTGTTGATCTTTACATCTTGCAAGTGTAGATTGTTCCTTCAGTAATACTATGCTGTTTTGTTTTGTAAGTACTGGCTAAAAGCAAAGGCTTGTTGATGCTAAAACAATTTTTGTTGATGGCTTTCACCTCTATAAAATTTAGCATATTCCCTTTCTGGAATTAGACATTTTTTTGGGTTAATTGTCTCCAGGACTCTGTGGAACATATCAATTAAACCATATGTTATAAATAGTGTTACTGAACCCACAAGACAGCTGCCTTGGTTTTGTTATACAGTAATTTTTAAGTACGTAACTTTAAAAAAAAAATAATAGAATACTATGTTAAAATAAAGATCCAGAAGCACTGTACTTTTGAGTAGGTCTATTAGATTTCCTATAAGCAAATAAAAAAAAGATTAAACTATATTTTGGAGTTTTTGGATAGGTACTTACAGCTATAATATAAATATTCTTTTTGGATGATTGAATTAGTTCAAAAACCACAACATAAGTATAGGGTATTTGAATACAAATTAGTATTTAGGCTTATTCATCCAAAATTGCTTTTTAATTTCAAACAATATTTGCTCCCTTTTTTACCAGGTGCACGATTATTCCAGAGGTTAGAGGGTAAGACTTCTATCCTAAAGACCATGGTCTGATTCCTACTGATCACCAATTTAAAGGCTTTTGCTGTGTGATGATGTTCAGAACTTTCAGAGTTAATTTTTTTTTAATTTTTCACCATGAGAAATCCTGTTTATTATTACAGGCATTGTCAGCTGTATGTGCCCTGATGGGTACGCAGGAGATGGTTACGGTCCAGCTGGTTGTAGTCCTTCCGCAATGGCTGTACATCCTTGCCACGCCAGACCGTGCAAGAACGGCGGAACTTGTGTGGAGGTTGGCTCAAGAGCAGTGTGTAACTGTCATCCCCACCTGACTGGTATGTATACATCAACTTTATGGGCAACTAATAGAGTAAGGTCTATGTAATCATTGAAACTGTTGAAAACCAGACAGACAATAGGAAATCTTTCATAGGGGACATCCCTTTCATTTAGGTATAAAATTATAAATATAAGGCACTTTTACAGTCTAGGTTCACTCTTAGGGTGATCATTGACTAATTGAATTAATTATTATTCTGAAACCCCACACTACAGCTACATGATGAATTGTCTGTTCCCTATTTCAACTTTCAATAGTTAAACTGATCTTTTATCACTCATCTTTAATACTGATGATGAACTAAACTATACCGATGTACAGGCGCTGACTGTAGTGTGGTGATGTATGCCACTTGCACTCCTAACCCCTGTGTGAACAACGGCACCTGCACCATACAATATGTAGCAGGTGCGTCCACGGCCAGGTGTACCTGTCCTCAGGGATTTGAGGGAGAGAGGTGCGAAACTGTTAGTGGTGGTGAGTAATTTTGTTTTGTTGCAACCTTGTATGGCATCACGGTGTGGTTGTGGAATTTATGTTAATATAAAGTAGGACCTCGATATCTCAAATCTAAAGAGGGTATGATAAAAATTCAAGTCATTGATATTTTTTAATAAGCGAGGTTTGAGTTATGAAGGTGCTACACCGGAAATTTGAGATACCGAGGTGTTGAAATCTGACAATGATGCTACTTCATTTTTATTATAACTCGACTTTAACTAGCAAAACACCTTTATAAACGAGTTTAAGTTATTTACATGTACTGAAGGGTAACTGTGGAAGCAAAATAAAACAATTTATCATACACAGTGCATACTGAATGGCCTTCTTGTTAATTAAAATTCATTCCCATTCTAGCTCCTGAGCTGTTGTATTCAATATAATAAATAGGTTACATACCTTATAAATCCGACAAACAGCTAATTTTAATTGAAGGTCGTTTACATGTTTCGGCTTGTATCGGCCATTGTCAAAACGTTGCAGTTGGATGGTGAAATCCTTGTCATTGTTTTCTACTAAAAGTACATACACAAACACATACACATGGACGGGACGAAAACATTACGAAAAACGAATAAAACTTTAAATAGGCCTATTAAATACACGGGCAGGACGCACGCACACCGTTGTCAAGGTCAGGATGCAGACTGGACTAGTTAACAGTCCAACTAGTCCAGTCTGCATCCTGACCTTGACAACGGTGTGCGTGCGTCCTGCCCGTGTATTTAATAGGCCTATTTAAAGTTTTTTTTTGTTTTTCGTAATGTTTTCGTCCCGTCCATGTGTATGTGTTTGTGTATGTACTTTTAGTAGAAAACAATGACAAGGATTTCACCATCCAACTGCAACGTTTTGACAATGGCCGATACAAGCCGAAACATGTAAACGACCTTCAATTAAAATGAGCTGCTTCTTGTTAAATCAGTCCTGATAAAAGAACTTTTTAATCTGAACACAGTTTTAACCACGTTAAAACAAATTCGTCCATGTCTTTAAACTCACCGTTCTTACATCTTTTCTTATTGATGTATCCACCTTCAGCCTCATACCCCTGGTTTTCATATCCCTGGTTTTTCAAAATGGCCGTTAAAGTGTTAGGCGGAAAATACATAATTTCAAATATATTTTTACTGTTAATGTCTTTTTAGATTGTGGAGGAACGTTTTATCAAGACTCGGGAGTACTTCAGGTTCCCACTGGAAATATGGTTCAGAAATATCCCAATGGAAAGCTCTGCACTTGGATCATAGAAGTGTCATCAAACAAAGTTGTCCAAGTCAACTTTACTGAGCTTGTCATGGACCCTTCTGAGAACTGTGAAAGAAATTACATCAAGGTAAATCTATTTTTTAGGATAGTTTGTAAACTAGAATTTTTGTAATCATTCCGTAAAGAGCTTCAGGACTGTTTGTTTATTTTTCTCACGTTTTGTTTCATTCTGTTTAGGCTACTTCCTTCAGACAATGTTTTTCCAAGAATGCATGGCGGAATATAAGGTTCGTGTGAATATAGAAGTTCCTGGTAGTTAAAGAGTAGGCCTATAATGATTGGTATTCTACTGTGTTTGGGAAGAAAATGGAGTATCTTGAGCTACCTACAGACCAAACCGAAAATACACTGTGTTACATACTTCCATTATTTTCCTCTTCTTTTAAAACTTCAAATCCAATAATTATCATCTGTCAAAATAATTAATTATTAGCGTTCTCTTTTTCTCTTTAAATAAATCATACAAAAGAAAAAATTAATGTTGATGTAAAGTTGGTGTCTTTGTTCTACTTATTTTATTTTAACTGTTTAGCTCAAATCTGGGTTGTAAATTTACCAAACAAGGTGCTGTTAGATGAACTCTAGTTTATTAGAAAATATGGTAAAGGCCTGGGCCTTGTCAAACGAAAGATGTAGTTGGCAATTTTACCAAGTGTTTCAAAAATAACAAAGTCGTAATTTATGTTTTACCATTTAAACTTGTAAAAAAAAACTATAATACTCTTTTTACCTCTTAACCTTTTCAATCATTTCACAGTTCTTCTTCCTCCACTATCTTCTCCTCATCCTTCTTCATCATATCTACATATCTTCTTTTAGGCTTCCTCTTTGTCTCCTTCCCTCTAATATCATCACCTCCATTTTCCTAGGAACTCTCCTCACATTCTTCTCACATGTTTAAAACAGTCTTGCTTTTTACTACTCTCCCTTTTAAGTTTTGTTTAACTAACCACAATTCGTCTGATCTCATTCGTAACCCTAATCCATCTCGTTTTACCTTATTATCTCTTCTAATAATCATCTATGTACCTTGCATTCTGCTCCATCCTTTTTTCTGTGAATCTCGTACACTGAGATATTACAGATTTTATTATCAACTGCAACATTATAACTTATATTCATATTTTCTAGATACACCAACCAACAGCCACAAATCCAGTCAACTTTGACCAACGCATCTGTCACACTGGTCTATTGCCCAAGGTCACAAGTGTCTCAAACATGGTCAGGATTGAAATGTTCACAACAACAGGCATTCAAGAGAATCGGTTCAAACTTACTTGGAAAGCTGTTGAACCAGGTGAGCATTATTGTCTAAAAATTTTAAACTGTAGTTACTTACTTCGTCTTTTATGGGAATTCGTGATCAACCTCAATAAAATTTCACCTATTTTGGAAAAAATTTTTTATCTCAAGACAAACCTTAGTTGACAACTTGATTTTATTTAATGTATTCTCTCTCAGTCCATTTTGAGATAAAAGTTTATCGGAAAGTCTAGATGAAAAATTCATCTAAGCCAGGAAAAGTTAGATGACAAATTCACCTTCTGATTATTTTTTTTTTTTACATTGCAGCCTGTGGAGGAGAGTTTCAAGTAGTGACCCATGGGACCATACAGTCCCCCGGATATCCCCACAACTATCCGGCTAACCAGGACTGTGAGTGGAGAATCAAAGGTCCTCCGGGAAAGCGAATACAGGTGTTGTTCAACAACATTGATTTGGAGCCTTCCACCGACTGTTCCAAGGATTTCCTCAGAGTAAGTACAGTAAACTGGTTATGGGGACTTTAATCAAATGTTTTAAAGCCTAAGCTTCATGTTGATAGACATGCAGTATATCTATATGAATCAGCTATAGCCAATGTCTTATTCAAATAGTCCGTTCACAAAATTTAGGCTGTATAAGAAGAAGCTTTCCTGGGTTCTGCTACCACTTTTTTTAGCTTAATCTATATTCCAGCTGTTGGCTGTTGTTTCAAAGTTAGGGTGAGGTTGAGTGGAGGGGTTGGAATCTCTTCCACTCAAACCGCCTAAATCTTGTGAACAGAGTGTAAATAAGCTATTCATAGAGTGTTCTGTAGTCCAAAATTCTACTTTCTCCATTAGTTTGTACCATAACTTAAAACTTCTTGTCGTTTCAGTTCAATTAAAAAAGTGGGTGTTTTGGATATAAAACAGAAATTTACATCAGAGAACTCTGTCGGTGGCTGGCATGTACTCTTTGTTTTCATTCTAAAACTGGCTAGAATTTTAACATTTAAGGCCTAATTTATTAGTCTCTGAAAAGGTAGACCTGCCTTCCTATCATTACATCTTACATGCTAAAAACAATAACTTATGACACCTCTTCTTTGGTCTTTGTATGTATTCTTGATTGAGCTGGTTTCAACAACTTGTGCGTGAATTAATGTTTCAAATACTTTTGTCCTAAAACACGTTAGGTATATTCAAAGTTTTGAGGACCAATGCTAGCAGAACCAAGCGGTAAATTCCCCTTCATCAGTGTGTACAATGATTATTCCACAAATCCTCCTTTATATCTCCGGCTTCTAGTAAATTTTTAGGTATGGTTGATTTACCATAGTAAACATAATTTCTACAAACCCAAGTTTGTTGTAGATAAACTCTGTTTAACTCTGGATTTTTAATTAGCTGCAAGAGTTTGAAAATGATGAGCCCAGCAACCTACTGGCTCAGTTCTGCAACAGCTCCACCCCTGCGCCGATCACTACTCACCACTCGGCGGCCTACTTCATCTTCCACTCGGACAGCGCCGGCTCTGGCTCCGGCTTCCGGATCACTTACACGCTTGTTGATGGTAAAAACAACAACACTAGGGAAACGATAAGTATCACTTAGGAGATGTTTGAGGAGCAAACTATAGCATTCTAGCATAGGAGCAAAAATCAAGTGTCTAAAATGTATAGCCTAACTACATAGATCAGTACACCGCCACACCGGTAGACTAAGATATTAGGTTCTAAGACTATGGACTAAGGATTGGTGTCAACTCGTTCCTCACGCAAAGGCTTTGCCTTTGTGGGAAGCATTTATTTTTATGTAATTGTATTTTCTGTATTGGCAGTTTTTTTTTTCTTGGAATAAATTATTTGGATTCAATTTTTATTCCAATTCTATGTGATGACAGGCTGTGGAGGGGTTTTGACAGCAGGTAAGGGTGACATCAGCCCTCCTATGGGACACAATCACAGGTACTTGAGTGAGCAAGATTGTGAGTGGAGAATACAACTGCCTCTGGGCGACAAGATCAACATCGTCTTCAACAGTTTTGACCTTGAGGACCGGACGGACTGTGATGACTATGTTGAGGTAAGTTTTGTTGTTGCGAAACATTCTCTAGTTATCTCATGTAGAACAAAAATTGTGCATACTTGGAAATGTTCATCCAGCCAAAATGTATGGGCTTGGGTGCTCATTTTTTCAGATTCGGAAAGTTCCGCTTTTTATAACTGCTCCCTCATCTTAAAAAAAAAAAATCAAAAAGAAATCAGCATAGCTTGTACAGTAGAAGTACATGGTTTGCTGAGTTTTTTTTAACCCTTCCTCCACATCGTAGGACACTAGGCTCTATCCCAATTACCATTTTGGACTTAACTTGAGGATGGTCCTGATGGTTTGCAGCATCATCACATAGCTAAGTCATTGGGGAAGGATTTCAAGCTGGAACCAAAGTCCCGTGCTCTACTAGACCTCTTTGCTCCCATATTGAAGTAAATGTAATAATATCCCTGGCTGAAAAATTGACATGTAAATAGACCATTATGAGTTATTATTGCTTTCTGTTTAAAAGTTGCTCAAATTTTGTCAAACAACCTAAGTAAATAGAAAACAATGCTTAAAATCATCCTCGACAAATGTTTCTAACTATTTGGCAATCCCTCTTCATAAAAAACTGGTAACTTCTTCTGGTTGGATTCTACTTCTTTGATACAAAAGTGTGTTTTTTTCACAGTTGAGGGATGGCCTGCTAGCCACGTCTCCCCTGGTAGGACGTTGGTGTGGATCTACAGTACCTCCACCTTACACCACATCGGGCAACACTCTCACTGTCATCTTTCATTCAGACTTTGTCATTGAGGGAGACGGCTTTACTCTCCACTATGATACAGGTGAACTGTTTGCTTAACTCCATAGAAGTAAGGTACATAGGAAACACGCTTATGGGACGACCATGCTCTTTTATGTTGTGCTGGAAATATGCTTGTGACGAGCAAGGAAGAGCTTAAACGGTGAGCGCTGTGCACTGAAATTCCTATTGTACCCTCCACTGTGAGCATTGTATCCATGAAGGTTGAGGGGGGGGGGACTTTGCCCTAGACAACACCACTTAAGTGAACCATTGAATGTTTCCTCTGGAACTAATGGTTTAACTCTAGAATTTAATTTAATTTACCCTTCTACCAACTACCACCTAATCTGAAATCTTACTTTTGTATGTAATACGGTAATACTTATGTAACTGAGAAAAAGTGATATTTTGTTTAATTTTCCATTTAAACTGTTCAGTTTGTGGAGGCGAGTTTACTGCGCGCTCTGGAGAGATCTGGAGTCCCAACTACCCCCAGCCCTACTCTGCAGAGCGGATGTGTGTGTACATCATCAGCACTCCTCCCAGTACTGCTATACAACTCCACTTCCAGGACTTTGAGCTGGAAAAGCTCGGAGAGTCGTGTGACTACGACTACTTGGAGGTAAATGTGCAAGTGGTAACAATAAATATTGGAAGCTGGTTCTTTTCCTAGGTTTTAAGATTTTTAAGAAAGACAAATTTTATAGCAGGCATTTTGAATTGGTGCAAATTAGAAATCTGATACTTTGTGTAAATATTGCTGATATTGGTCCTATTTGTCGTTATGCACTAAGTTTGAAGTCAATCACTTGATTGATTAAAAATTTATTGGTATATTTGTTTTCACATACCGGTACGGAGACTGAAAACAGACATTATAGACCCTTTATTATGTTTAAATGGTGTCTTTTCATTGTTTTTCCCTAAGGAACAAGTAGGCTACACAATATATTTTTTAAGGAAATTTGTACAGGGAATTGTGTGAGGGGGAGGGGGGACCTTGTATTTAAATAATTACCTTGTTTGCCACCACTCTAGTAATATCTGTTGTGTATATTTAACTGCATGTGACAGACAACCTTACGGACATCATTCATTACAACTTTTGATACAGATTCGTGATGGTGACAACGCAAACTCTACATTGGTTGGAAAGTTCTGCGGAGGAGATGCACCACCTGATGTGATATCTACACACAATTACTTGTACATTACACTTACGGTTGACTCTTCCTACCAACAACGAGGATTCCTTGCTAATTATTCAACAATCGATTTGCGTAAGTAATATTAGAAAGGTCAGAATCACCAGAAAAGATAATTGGTACTTGGGTTTGATTCAGGTTTATCAGTTATTACAAATTGCTAACTATTAACAATTAACTGTTCTCAGTTCTACCCATGTATTGTTTATTGACAGCTTGTGGTGGTATACTGAAGCAGACGACGGGTGTGTTTTCCGCGCCCCAGACAGAGGACGGGTACCCACCCAGCACCTTGTGTCACTGGGTCATCTCTGCTCCGCCCGGCTGGGTGGTGCAGCTCGGTTGGCTGTCCTTTCACTTGGAGTACTCACGAGACTGTGCCATGGATGCGGTTACCATCTACGAGAACAACACTGAGACCGGCAACAGCACGCTTCTAGACAGGTCGGTTTGTTGGAAAAATGGCCTTGGTTAAAGAGCCAGCTGATATTGGCCAAAAACTAAGCTATGAACTCATCGTTCACTCATCTTCATTTTATAATACTTGCCCTAGTGTGTCGTTGTCATATTAATCTACTAATCTATATCTAATTATTGTCAGATAACCTATAAGGTATGAAAAGTCAACCAACAAGCATAAGTTGACCAACCCTAGACTTACAACTATCAATGTGAGCCCCACTATTATTGACATAAACGTCTCATGTACCGAGAAATCTGATGCCTGTTTTTACAATGCCAAGAGGTAATGCTAAGAGTGGGCCAATGCCAACGAAAGGCAACTCAATTGGGTTAGAGATTTCTCTTGTATTTTAAAATGGATTCTATGAATCATGCTTCACTCTTTGGTTACAGTACCAAGCAGTGGTTTTAATTAAATGGTTTTATTTCGTTAACCATTTGTTAAAACCTTAAAACTACTAAATAACAAATAAATAATAAACAGCAAGATGCCCTCTTAATAAAACAGAGAGAGCTACACAAATGGTCTTCAACTGTTCCCTAAGGAAGTACGTGTAATCTATGACATAACTCAACAAAAACAGCATACGCTGCAGCTAGGAGTCGAGTTAAACATATGGAACTATTACACTTAGAATTTTAAGTTGATCAGTATTGTTAGTGTAGTAAAATGTAAGTTGTGGTCAATTGCTGATCAGTCAGTTGTAAAGGCATTGTCTCCCCTATGGGAAGAGAGTTGATGGAGTGTTTGCATCTATTTTCCTTGAACTGCTTCATTCAAGAGTTTTGCAATTACCTGAAATAAAAACAAACACATACACTGACAAATTCCACCTCTATTTTCTTATATTATATATTACGTTATTAATTGTGGACATTGGTTTTGGTGATTCAGGTACTGTGGATTAAAACTTCCCCCAACAACTGTGAGCACTACTAACCTGGTCACTGTAACGTTCCATTCAGACGACAGCGTTCACAGGGAAGGCTTCACTGCGCATTATGTCATGGTGGACCAGCGGAAAGGTAAATAGATGTTGATATTTTTGTGGGATCATTTGATCACAGTACGAAACAAAAGAAGACACCCAAAGAATAAGTTGAATGATGAAGAAGATGTTTAGTGCCGATGAAGAAGACACACAGGTTCGGAAGAGGTGAAGGCAGTTGTTGGTGAAGGTCAATTACCCTGGGCGCAAAAGGCCATGAGAATAGAAAGTAAAGAAGAGCTTTATTGTTTTACAAAAAAATAATAGGCGGTGTCACAGAGAAGTAAGATACAGAGGATACAAGCTTATAGGACAACTGTGCGCTTTTGGCTCTGGTATGTTGGGGCAGAAATGTACTAGTATCGAGCAAGGAAGAGCCTGAACGGCGATTGCCACATATAGCATTGTTGTACAGCAGTAATAACGCACAGGGTCTTCCTCCAGGGTGAGCGCTGTAGTATGTGATGGTGAAGGGGGCAAGGAGTGTGGAAGTGGAAGTTGACGACGAATAGAATTTGCTCTAGACACCAGCGACTGGTGCTAGACACCACTTAAGTGTATTATTGAATGTATCCTCTGTTTCTTACTTCTCTGTGGTAGTGTTGAGTCATGTGTTTACTATGAATGCATTTTTTCTCATAAAAGATAAGTTGTATTTCTTATACTCTTTCTTATGATTGTACGGTAAGTACATTAAATTGTTGATATTTTCCTTTGGTTCTAAATTGAATATCTTCATTACAGTTTGCGGAGGTACCATCCGATCAGTAAGTGGGTCGATTGCAACACCAAACTATCCAGAAGATTATCCTGACAACAAAGAGTGCATTTGGATCATCCACGTACCTCAAGGCCGGCAGATAAAACTCAGATTTGAATCTCTTGACATTGAAAATACTTCACCTAGTTGCGCCTATGACAGTTTAACCATCAGGTTAGTCATTTATCTAAAAATGTAGTTAAAAGTAAAAATTATCTAGGTCTACTCTAAATATAAATACTCGTCGCATCAAACCTACAGACTAAGAGAATTTACATTTACCTGGTTAAATTTTTTACCTAAACATTCCCTTAAAATTGTAAGATTTATTTCCCATTTAAAAAACACTAATTTAAATTAGTACTTAGGTTTGCTACTACAGGGAAGGAAATAATACAAATTTGAACGAATGTTGTTTTTGGCCTCTGGGGACATCAAAATGAAAAAGTAAATGGGTCCCGGACTTATGCCACCTACGGTAATAGCTACTTATCCTAGAGGGAAATTCGCTAAAAAATACCACATTTGGATAATTTGTCGGTTACAGATTTTCCCCCAAACAATTTTTGAACAATGAATTTGTGTAAAAGACAATAGACAAATTTATGTGGTTTCAATTGTCTTGTGGTATTAAATAAACTAGTGTACATGTTGCTCGAAATCGAGCAATCGCAAAGAAATAAAGGAGTTATTTAAAAACAGATAACTTATTTAAGAACAAATATAAGTCATAAATTTCTATGAGTTCGAAGATTCAACTCAAAGATTACGTAACTAATCTATCTATATAAATAAAATTAGAGTTTTGTCTGTACATTGCTTAGAATCATGCAGTTTTTGGTTATTTTTACGTTTCATAGCCTAAGAAAGCCGAAACGAGTCTTATCTCAATTTCTGTCTGTATGTCTGTCTGTCCATTCTGTGACTCGGTCTGTAACGCCAAAATGTCATTTTACGCGGCCTACTCCTAGAAAACTAGAGTACCGATCACGGTTCTAATAATTTTTCTGTATTTAATGGATTGGTAAGAGTGTCTTTGGCTATAAAAACATGGCCTCGCTTCTTTGAAAACAAAATAACAAACCACCAAAAACCCAATTTTGTTTGATTTTTGTCAAATTTTCTCCCAATGTTTACTATTACATTTTATGAAATATCAATCAGCTGTTTGGATTAGTTCTCACTTCTAGCTGTCACTGATATGCTTACATTCAAAGTTGTTTACAAATACCGCAACCATTTCCGATCAAGTTTTGTCAGCACATCCAAACCAAGTGAGATTAAAAACTTTGTGCCTTACTTAACCGCTTTAATTAATCGCAAGTGCAACGATTGTTCTTGAGTTTTGATAACCGGGGAAAATACCGTGAATCAGTGTTGTATTATTGCAAGGAAACTTACATTTTTTTAATCATCGTCACCAATACCGTAGCTTAGAAAGGTTTCCACACATTGACGGCGCTTCAAGGACAGTTGTGTTAAGTGCAAAGTAAAAAATCACAACTGCATTGGGTGATCGTGGATGTTGCTGCGATCTTGGAAGATCTTTCTAATTTCGCTGTGATCGTACCGTAACAGAGGTTTAACTTAAGGCCGTTTGGCCGCTAGGCTAGTCTGAAGGTGAGGAGCAGTAGTTCTACCCGTCGCCACCGCGCGCGCTTGGATGTCCGTTTGGAGGCAGCGCTGTAGGTGTGTGTTTGAGCTGTCCCCCCTCACCCCTCCTCACACCACACACTGCATCACTGGTTCTCGTATACGCGAGGCCTTGCACGGGCACGGCCCGTCGTATCCGCGGTCCGGGCTAGCAACCCTGAACCAAATCACGTTGCTAACTGACTTGTTATTTATTTACCCAAATATATGTATCACACTGAGTTTATTATTATGTCGTTGGTAAAAAATTATTTATCTCCAGAATAATGTCGATGAAGTATTACATAGCCATTACTTAAAACAAAGGAATAACATTATTGTTGCCTTTTGAAAATTAATATACTAAGTTATCTTACCTTCGTCAACCGGCTCCTAGAAGTAACAAATGTTTTTTTAGCTGTGTTATAACCTATATGTTACACTACCAAGAGCTGATTGGCGAAGGTAACTGTAGATTTTGGATTAGTCACAAGATCGGTCCAGGGCCTAAACATATGCATTGTAATAGTAACATCAACATTGACAATAAAATAGAGATATAACCATTACATAAAAACATAGCTTATTTGATATTCTATCCTTTGTTGGGGTTGTCTTCGTCCCTAACTACCCAATCAAAAGCATTATGTCATCTATCGTCATGACATATTGCACAGCAGCTTAGCAGGCAGGGAAGGAGCAGACGACTACTCTCAGTGCCAGTATAGCTTGACCATGAATCTATCGCGATATTTCTTGGTTATGCTTCCGTTTTATTATGGCAAATAAAATGTGATTATAAACAATAACGTGGGAAACTCCTGTATTACAGTAATAGTACAAAATAGGTAAATATATAATGCATTTCAACCCATATTATTAATCGTAATACTAAACCTCTTACAGTCACAATTAAATTAATTTGTAGCCTAAACAATTGTAAATGAGAAATAAGCAAAATAGCAATATTGGAAATGGTGTAAACTGTTAAAAACTCTGTTAAATTTTCAGATAATTTTCTTAACAACTTAACACATTTTCTTACCACTGTATTAGCGTATTAAAAAAGTTCATGAAATACCTAAATCTCTAGTTGTGTACATAAAGGTTACAAATGAAAATGAAAATGCAGGTTTTTAAAGGGGATTTAATACTACAATAAAAAATACAGTAAATATTTATATTTATTACAAGTAACTTTTGGTTTCCTCACCCTTGGTAACGAGCGTCCGCTACATATCATTCTACTGATACTGATGGATTCGGTTCTGAAAACAAAAAACAAACTAACCATCACTAATGACTCAAAAGACAGGAAATTGAAGACGAGGGATTGTCAAAATATAATACTAATGTACTAATGATTGCATTGTCTAGTGAGAAAATTGTCTTATGTTATAATGTTATTCATTATTATAATGACAGTTTGAAATCAATCGCATGACAGTTTGTTGAAATTTATTGTGTGTGATTTCAAATATTTTAATTTATTATTTTACCTACCCACCCTACCGACCTGGTTCACAGGTCTTGATTTCAACCAGCAACCTGCGGATTACGAGTAAGAAAATCAAGTTACTTGACCGTATAATTTAAGTTGATGAAAAATATTTTTTACATACCTTTTGACTTTTTGGATTTTTGCCTCTCCTCAATAGCAAGGAGGATACATTCCGGATCCCTCACTCTTAGGCCTCTGACGATCCTGCTGTCTGCTATTTCGGGAAGGACGCAGCCGAAATAAAACTTTTCTAGTTTCGGCACCATGACTTTCTCCCACAGGGTTTTGTCGATTGGGATCCTCTCTATAGCCATTTCCTCTGTTTTTGTCAAAACGACAAGATCGCACCATTTTCTGTGTGTGATGCACAGCTGCAATTAGGTGTATTTGAAAGAAATAATTATGTTTTCTTTTTAGCTGTAAATTGTTATTAGGGCCCAGTTCCAAACACAATTTTTTTTTCTTAACAGCTGATTTTAGGTCCTCAGTCACGCTAGGTAGACATTTCACTTCAATCAACCCCTCCTCACCGACCAAACCGTCAGGACTTGCCCCGAGAAAAGGGTATTCGGTGGAGACAAACAGTCCACATTCCTCAACTTTGAGGCCAGTTGCAGCCTCGTATTTAGTTATAGCCTTTTTCTCATTTAGGCGTCCAAAAATTATATTTTCAGAATTCAGCTCTCTGCTGTACAATATCGATTTTACCAAGTTGTGACAAGGAGTATGGTCCAGCCGTTTTACAACTTGCCCAAATGCTGAGGCCGTAATTAGGTTCAACCGTTTTTCCTTCCACAAACGATTGTTGTGCTGGCCAACAGTTTGCCTTTCAATTTGGCCTGCCCTTTTTGATTCATCATTTAAAGTTTTAATTACTTCATTCATTTTTTTGGTCAAAGCATGTTCTTCAACGTCTGGTTCAATGGCCAGCGGGCCATACTCCTTGTCAGGGCCAGCAGATTTTTTTGCTTTTCTCGTTGGTTTTTGCGTACTGTACCGCAACGACCTTTTGGCCCTTATCTTTTCCCTGCTCATAATTTTTTTCTTAAAATTGTGTCCTGGACTTCTGCCTTGGAAAGATTTCCAGGGGCTTAGATGCCAACTGGGTCCTGCGCCGTGACTCAACCCAGCAGCAAAGCATCTACCTTGGTACGAGCCTTTGTACGAATAGTTGACCCGTTTGCCACCAATAAACTTGGATACCAAGCCCATATACCTGAAATTAGAGTATGTATATAAAAAAAACACGTAATTACTAGTTATGTTACCTGCAAACATTGTGCAATGTTCTTTATTCCATCGTAGCAGACCTGCATATATACCGAATTTCTAAAAGAATAATTTGATTTATGTAATATTTTGTAACACGTATAATGGATAATGGACGTGAAAAGTAGAAAATAAATTTATTTTTCATAATTTGATTTTGAAATATTCACATTTTTAACCAAAAAATTTCAATATCTCATAAGTAAAACTTGATAACAAAAAAATGACTGCAACAATGAGTTTAGATTAAAAAAAGTAGTTCGAAATGATGGGTCACAACACACCCTTCATATTTAAAATAATGTATCAAATTTCAAAATGGCGGATCCAAGATGGCGGCCGAAAAAAATACATCAGTCATAAGAAAGAGAAAATATGTTGACAATGACTGGTAGTGTATACTTATCTTTATCTAGCACTATTTTGAGATTATGGTCCTTAGTTTGTAAATGCACAATGTTAAAATGGGCTAAAAATAAAGTTTTAAAAAGCCCTCATAACTTTGGAATGAATCAATATTTTTTTAAACGGTTTGTGGCATTGTAATCAGGGTAAAAATCTAGCTCAAAATAATGGGTCACAACCCCACCTTTACATTGGAAAAAAAAATTTGCATCCAATATGGCGGATCCAAGATGGCGGCCAGAAATTACCACCTTGTCAAAATGAAGTTCTTACTACTCAACAATGTTTGGAAGCGGTCTGGGATTAAAATTTTAAAAAATGTAGGAAAAAGTTGGGGGGGGGGGACATTTAAAACTCACCCTGTATG